TACAACCTGTTTAGTATTCTTGTAGACCCTTTTGGGACCAACAATATCAGATAAATCTCAAACAAGAATATGCACACATTCAACACTTAGAAAAATTAAGCACACAAGCTTATCCGGATTAGAAGTCCGAACAACAAAAGACTTTAAATCGCACAAAACTATCACGTAATCTGGTGAGTTTCAACACTTAGTCAAAATTAAAGCAATTAAGGAATTTTAATACGGACAAAGCAAAACTCAATACGGACAAGGCGTAAAATTCAATTTGGATTAAAAATCTCAAATCGGATGATTTCACCACTTAGCCAAATTTCCAAAAATGAAATACGGACGTAAAAAGTCAACAAGTCAACTAGTCATGGTCAACTAAGTCAACTAGTCAAAGAATGAATAAGTCCGCTTAAAATCAATTCGATCAAGTCAAAAATTTAAATCGATCACAACAAAAAGTCAAAGTCCATTCACGAATCCGTTCAAGAAGTCAAAGTCAAAGTACGGTCAAACAGTCAAAGTACGATCATTCAAAACATTCAACAATACAACATAAATCGCATAATAAACCGCTCAACCTTACACTTAAATTGCTCACCAATTCGCTTAGGCTATAACCGAACTTCAAATAAATCGCACACTTTACAATATAAATCGCACACTTTACAATATAAATCGCACAAAGTACAATCGACTTATCAAGCGGATTATCTAAATCGCTCACTAAATCGCACAGGAGTCAAACGATTTACCTCTTAATCCGACCAAGACTTACCCGGTTTAGCCTAATCCGATCAAACTCAATTCACACAAATATTACAAGTATTAAATCGTACAAGCTTTAAGCGATATACAACTAAATCGATCAAGAGTTAATCAGACTAATATTCAAGCTAAAACACAAATTTCACACTTTTTCACCAAAATTTTGGATCAAACATGAAAAATATGAATTTTGAAGAACACTAGCAGTTTTCGAAAAACTCAAAATTCGACCAAAACAGGTTCAAAACTTGTTTAAACTCAAAATTAATGTGAATCAAATTTGTTCTAAATCAGATTACGAATCCAGCGATATAAGATTTGTCAATTAACAACCAAAATTCAAACGATTTAAGCCAAAAACAGAATCTGGAACGAAAACTCTTATGAACAGACGAAGAACACTATGAACACAGATCGATTTATCCACTAAAATTCGTGCAAATTCTTGATTAATTCGTTTAATCCTCTAATCAAACTGCTGCAGCTTGCTCTGATACCAATTGAAATGTCCAAATCCACGCACAACTGATCATGGGAACAATAAGAACAAGATGAAGAGAGAGAATAGATCACCAAAATCTCTTGTATTGCTTGAGAGAGAATTACAATACTAATCTCATATTACAAAAATGTTAATGACTTGTTAATGACAATTACAAAGTAAAGCACTATTTATACTAAGGAAAGTATTAAGCTAATCTATTACAAAGCATGTAAAATATGGAGAACTTGAATACAACAATAATGCACATACTTGAACCCAACAGATTCTTATTAGTTTAATATATGAATGTGATCATCAACTCATTTAGCTAACTTCAACAATTTTAAAAAGAATTATCGTCACCATGCAACGCATGGTGTCAAACACTAGTTCAAATTAAACCAAGTCCCTGAAAGGACCACTAATGAAATACCACATTTAGAAGCACATGCACTCTTAAAATTTTAACAAAAATGGAATTATGATGATGGGATCGTGGGTGGAAAGAGGTGACATTTTAGTAGATAATTTGACCCCTCAATTGGTGAAAGAATCATTTTGTGCCCCAAAAGATAGATCGTTACGAACCATACTTGGCATGCGGGTACATGCTTGATAAGAAACTTATTCAAAACTACATATGAGCGATAAGGTTCTGGTTATTGATGTGAGATGGGCCTAGACTTCTAAGACCGATTGAGGATATATGTATATATTTTATAGAAATATGGAACCATAGCAGTCAAGAAAGTAATTGGAATCAAAAGATGGTGAGAGAAACAAAGAATATTACTACTCTGTAAATGGAAAGCTTTTGAGTAAGCATTATACAACCTCCAAAATCTTTCTTTGGTTCCCTTTTCGAACCCAATTGCAACTGCATGAGCCCAGTAATATTTGCCACAAATGCCCTAAAAAGAAGAAGAAACTTAGAACAAAATGAGAAGTAGCTAACGAGGATACATAATTGACTGTATTAATCTCGGTAGCTACACCACCCACATAATTCACGGAACCAAAAGAAAGCATGAGTCATGTACTCTGCATAACGACATTCTTGCCAAGGTTATATGCCTTTTTAGCCAATTCAAGTCCAACCCATTTGAACTCCTTAGCAGTTCTAACCAAGGCGCATACAGATCCTAAAAACGCGTTGTATTCTAGTTCACGACAAAAGGATAATCATTGTCAATCTATTATTCATACATTTCACTTTAAAACACTATTCATAAATAGATATCCACATAAATCGAACCATCAACATGATTTATACATCTAAATCATAAGAGAACAAAAAAACGAAGTAATCTACACAAGATATCAAATTCAAATACATATAAAAAAAGAGTAAAATATGACCACGTGGTTTACTAAAAGTTACGATTTCCATCAATGTGTTTTAAAAATTACTATAATATGTAATTCATAGATATTTCTGTTACGGTAACTTCATGAGTGATTTAATGTTAAATATTAAAAGTTACGATTTCCATCAATGTGTTTTAAAATTTACTATAATTTGTAATTCATAGATATTTCTGTTACGGTAACTTCATTAGTGATTTAATGTTAAATATTAAGTATTAAAAATAAATTATTTATCATTATTACTTATGGAATTAATTTAATATTAGAAGTTTACTCGCGCAACACAGCGAGATACATCTTGATTTTAATATTTTATTTTTATTTTTTATCTCAGTCGATGTTATAATATGGTCTTATGTGATCATAAAAAAAAACGATGATTTTTTATTTTTCAGTAATAAATAAATTTGAAGATATTATAAAATTTGACAAAAATATATCGATATTAATATCAAATTAACTATTTAAAATTTCTCATTTTTGTGTAATTTTTTAATTTAATTTTTTTATTATAACTTAGTTAGGTTCAATAACGAAGTAATTTATATTTGATTTAATAATATAGTTTTCTTATAAAGATAATAATTAATTATTTTGTTAAAACTTGATAAATATTCTAATTATATTTTAGATTTTAAAATGAGATGTTTATCTTCTATTTGATTATGTTTATCCGTAGTTAGTTATACGAATTCAAATATGAAGCTTTAATAAGTTGTATTTATGCATATTTTTTTTCTTACAAAGATAATAATTAATTATTTTGTTAGAACTTGATAATTATCCTAATTATATTTTAGATTTTTTAGATTTTAAAATGAGATGTTTATCTTTTATTTGATTATGTTTATCTGCAGTTAGTTACACGAACTCAAACATGAAGTTTAATAAGTTGTATTTATGCATAATTTACTTGTAATCTTGAATTTTAAGTAATATACATAAATATACAGTATTTTATATATAAAAACTGGTTTTTAAAATTTTTTATTAAATGCTTTATAATATAGTATATATATAGATGATCGAATTTTAAATTGTAATCATGAGATGGTTTTTATACGCGAGATTAAATTGTAATCATGAGGATGGTTTTTATACGCGAGATAATCACAAAAAGAGTCGTAATTGATTCGATAGATATAAACAAAATGTATATAAGCAATAATCCTCTCTGACTCTAATCCATATCAAAACCCCCACCACTCTCCAGAATACCAGAATATCATCTTCTTCCTCTAAAACCCACATCAACAACACCAGAATCTTGCTCGATAGAAGTACGTAATCACTTGCATCCATGGTCAATCTATACAATTGAAAATTTATCCATTCCTTCTAGGGTTTTTATTTCTGTAGTTAAATGCGATCGTTTCAGGGGAAGACGATAGCAAGAATAAGGCAGTAAAAGTTCAGATCTTGGACAGAGAAACTGAGAATCGTTATTGATTTCAAGGTATAATGTCTTTTCCTTTATTCAAATATCAGTGAGTTAATTTCTTTTTAAATTGTTCAATTAAATATATGTATACTGCCTATTTTTTGTGTATTAGAGTTGAATTTTTGTATTTGTAGTATAGTTCATCTGTCTCAGTAATTGATACAGATATAATGATCTATATGTTAGGGTTCTTTCATGTGCCATTGCCAATGTAGTTTTAATTAGAAAGTTAGTGTTAATTCTGCATTACTTCTAAAACCAATGAACCCTTGTTATTATTGTGTTAACAAGATTACTGCTTTCTTTGCTTTATACATCAAATCGAAGTATTACTACTCTTAACTAAATAAAGCTTGGAAAAAAGTTTACCCCTTCTTTTTAAAAGAATGCTGAAACCTCTTAGATGTGCCTCTGTGTCCGGAGTAATTTGAGCAAAAGGTTGATTACTGCCAAGTGCCAACCTCTAACGGCCCCACATGGAACCCGTCCCCTAGGAACCACATGTGAGGAGGCGTTATCAACTACTCAATCTTGTGACTTAGTGGCATTTTTTAAGCATCATATGCGAATGTGCAAAAGATATATTTTGAGTACTTGTAGCAACCGTTCATTAATATAGGAACTGTTTTGTCGTTTTAAATCTGATGATCAACTTTATACACTTGCTCAATCTTTTATTATATCAATATGATTTTTTTTTTGGTAAACTGAAAACAATATATACATATCTGATTATCATGTGCATCCGTATCATTTTTTTTTATCTATTTTTCAAAATCAAATCTATCTAGGATAACAACATGTGCGCTTAAAAGGATAATTTGTTTGTTTATATGCAGGAAATTAAGGTTTTTATTAGGTCTGTTCTGCTCACTTTCAATGGAAAACTTGTCTCTCCCTGAGGATGCTCTTTTTCTTGGATTTGATGGCTCCACTCAGTAAGTCTTTGCTTGATTCAGTGATTGAAAAGTGGATGATGGTTTTGAAAATTTATACTTAGTTGTTCACTCAAGTCTGAATTGAATCTTGAGCTAAGAACAACTGTGGGTTTTTTGAATTGGGCATTTGTTAAAATTGAATCTTGAGCTAAGAAGAACTGTGGGTTTTTTGAA